TTAGGGATCCTCTGATATCCGCCTCCTCAGCTCTGCTGTTAAAAGCACAAGCTTCCACATCCAGCGTCTTATTTTTTATATGGATGTAAGGGATGTGGGTCATCATGTTAGTCCTTTGCTGACTGAGTCATCACTACATCTATAAATACTGCTTTTCTTTTCTTAATATATTATTATTTTATGTGCATGAGTGTTTGCAAGCATGAATGTTCGTTTATCACATGCATGTACGATGCTCATGAAGGCCAAAAGAAGGTCTGGGTTCCCTGGAACTGGAGTTACAGATGGCTGTCAATAACCATGTGGATGTTAAAGACAAAGCCTGGGTCCTCTACAGGAGCAGCAAGTGTTTTACCCACTGAGCCACATCTCCAGCCTCACATTATTGCTTTTCTTTGGAAATGATTGAAAAGAGATCTTTTCATACAATATTAAACCTTGCAAACATTTCTTTATTAGAATCCCCCTAGCCACCCAAATTCAATGGTCCTTATTTGGGATGGGGGATGGATGTCATCAGAGATGCTGCTCTCTGTGCTAAAATGTTTCATTACATAATGCTAACCTTTGAGTGTCTCTCAGATTTGCTAAAATGTCTAGGAGAACCCTACACATGACAGTTAAGAGTTTGAATGACCAAAAAAGGAAATAAAAGAGCATGGATAAAAGATTCTGTCCGAGTATATGAGTGAGAAAAGGAACTCATAGAAACTGTAAGGCTGTTGAATAAAAATCCTATGACCAAAGGTGAGAAGCCTCCCTTCAAGTGATCAGCTGGGAGGCTCCTGAGATTTCTTCACAAATCATAAAGGTTCTTCACCCAAACGGCGAGCTTTATTACTTCAATATAGTGCGGAGAGAAACTGCGCTAGGGCTGAACTTGAGGATTTCTACCTGATTGAGTGTCTTCATGGTACTAAAAGACACTGTTCCTGCTGATGGGGGATAATTGTCATGGAAAAACCTGACAAGTTACATATGCTGTGTAATAGATAAAGAGTATGTCAGGCAAGTGGTGTCTACTAGTGAAAGAGCGGCCCTGCTGTTATGGAGCAGCTCACTGCTTCCTGATGGGACTTAAGGCTCACCCTACAGCTGGTAACTCACATCTGGTACTCCTCTCCAAACAAAAGGTCAATGACTAGGCATGGTCATAAGCTCTAGTGGAAAAAAATACAATTACTGAAGGAAGCGCTGAGTGTTGTATAGATTTTCCTATGAAGCTCTCCTGCCTGGAGGGAGGCTTATCAGACTCAGGAAGTAATTAAAACATGTGAGGCCCAGCAAGCAAATAAAACTTACAGGACTCTGGAAGCTCCTAAAAATTAGAAGACTCACAACCTCCTTCCTTATGTTTTTGTAAGTATCTTAGTTTGGTTTCTTTTGCTATGATAAAGACCATGACCAAAAGGAACTTGGGACTTCCTTTCATCTTATACCTCATTCCCATCATGAAGGGAAGGTTGGCCAAGAACTCAAGCATGAAACTGGAGGCAGATGCTCTAGAATAATGCTGTCCACAGGCTTATTCTACATGTCTTGCTTAGCCTGCTTTTTTATACCACACAGGATGATTGGCCCCAGTGAACCAGGGCTGAGCCCTTTCAAATCAATCACTGACCAAGAAATTGCCTACAGACTTACCCATAGACAATCTGATGATAGAGGCATTTTCTTATTTGAGATTTCTCTTCCCAGATAGCTCTAGCTTGGGTTAAGTTGACAAACAAGTGATCAATACACTAAAAAATAACAGCTGCTGAAGAGAGACGGTCAATCCGCTGGCTGAGCTGCCGAGAGCTCTGGGATGCAGTTGTCAGAGCACTCACCCACGCTGGTGCAGGGATTTAGTGATACAGGTGCCTTTATCTCATCTACGCTACAGTCAGTATTTCCCTTCATCCATACTCCTGTTAGCAGCCCCAGGAACATAGCTGGCTCCCTAGCTAGAGTTAGGTAAAGTCGTTGTTAGTGCCCTGTCTGAGTTGTATAGGTGATTTTCTACATTCCTTCAAGAAAAGTCATACAACATATACAAAGGTGGGAACTTTGTTAAGCAAAGCATGGGCAAAGATTGACTTAGGGGAATTACAAGTGCAAATTGTTGGACTATCCAGAATCCATAAGTTCTTGGGAAGTCAGAGAAGTTCATCTTATTGGAGCCAGAAGATTAAGACAATTGGTACGGTTATCTGTAATTCCAACATTTTTTCTTGTCAGTATTAGACTATGCAGTTGAAAGGAACTGGAAAGGGCCCACTCCAGAGTCTACTCCTTTGTAATTAAAACATTGGCAAATTTCTACAGTTCATTTGCTTAGCAGTGCATAGCTTCTCGTGATAAGTGTACTATGTCATTAAAATAAAGAAGTACTCTGTCATCTTCATAAAATTACATAAATACAATGTACTAGTAACATTACTTTTGACTTGTTATAGAAAGTAATATAAAGATAAGAAATTAGATATGTACATACGTGTGCATATTCCATAGCATGTTCTGTTACCCAATGCCACAAAGTATCTGCACATGGAGCACTGAGCATCTAAAGATAGGAATAAGCCCTTTCCAAATGGCATGCCCACCTCCACCATTGTCCCTGCAGAGTAACTGTCCCTAGGCTGTGCGTGGGGTGGAATGTGGAGAGAATAGACTGTACTTTGGAATATAAACAAAATAATTTAAATATGTAGAGTTTAAAAATACTTCTGGTGAGTATAGTCTATTTCAACCAGCCAGTTGGTAATTAAAGGTGACAGCTAGTTATAAAGCTTCT